ACGGCTCGTCCGCAACACCAATGTATTGATCGGAAGACTTCCCGAAAACTTCTTGAGATTCTCGAGCGATGAGACGAATGGCGAGTCGGATGGCGGACAGACTGAGAGGCAGATCCAGTGCGATGAAGAGGTGGCGATGGCTCTGCAACAGCAACAGTACCACCGATGGGGTGCGAGTCCGCAGAACATCAGAGGCAGACTCGATGTGACCATCGCTGAGGCCCGACTCGTCAAGAACTATGGCGTCACTCGAATGGATCCATACGTGAGACTCCGCATCGGACACCACGTCTATGAGACCCGCACCTGGTATTACACTTTGGACACTACTGTCCACTGAATTGTATGTCATATTAATGGTGTGAATGTCTCTATGAATAGCTATAACGGCGCGAAGAATCCGAAGTGGAATAAAGTGTTTCATTGGTATTGAAGTGTTGACACAAACAGTGATATAAAGACTAATGAATGCATTGATTGAACAGTTATTTACCGCAAGGCGTGGACTCCTTCCACATCGAGATCTACGACGAGTGCTCCTTCACTATCGATGAGATGATTGCATGGGTTTTGTATAAAATTCCCGAATCGACGATCACTTCCGGACAGACGGTCGAGGAATGGGTGGATCTGAACGGCAAACAGGGAGACGGCAAAGAGGGACAGATATGTATTGTCACCTCATTTACGGTAAGTTTGAGTTGATATATACGGAGATGAACTCAAAACTGATGACCAAATATGTGTTGAAACGATAGCCTCTAAACAAGACTGCATTGCAAAACACTGGATACCCAGTGGCGGCCGCCCCTATGGTGCCCGTCATAATGCCCAACCAGTACGGCGTGGTTTACGGCACTAATCCCGCTTTACCTCAAGTCTATGTACAACCGGGTCCTCCACCCACGGGAGCACAGCCTCAGACGCAACCCATTGTGATCAGCGAAGAGGATGTGAAACAAGTATCAGAAATGTTTCCCAACGTTGAGATCGATGTCATCAAAGCTATTATGGAAACCCAGAGAGGAAACAAAGACCGAACCATCAATTCNCCCACGGGAGCACAGCCTCAGACGCAACCCATTGTGATCAGCGAAGAGGATGTGAAACAAGTATCAGAAATGTTTCCCAACGTTGAGATCGATGTCATCAAAGCTATTATGGAAACCCAGAGAGGAAACAAAGACCGAACCATCAATTCCTTGCTTCAGATGACGAGTGAAAACAATTGATTTCTCGTATCGATTGCCTTCCGATCGATTCATTTACATTCTCTCACTTCAAGTCTTTGGCTAAACTTTTCAATAATTGACTTTTGATTTACTATCAATTATACTGTATTTAACAAAACAAACATTTTATACACAATATTCAAGTTTAGACCCGATTTTTAAAGAGATTTTAACCATTAAATAGATGTTTTGATCTCATTTCAAAATGTTATCAGTTTTTAATATAAAATGTTTTAAACTAAACAGTGATTCTAACTTAAAAGTATTACAAAAATAATATAAGATGTCATTTACTATTCGTAAAACAAATTGAGTTTACCTATAATTATGGTTACAGATTAAAAATCTAAATTATTCTTTCAATTTATTACAAATCATTAATATTGTACTACTGTATAATACTTTACATTAAACTAACAATTGGTTTTAAACCTGATTTGTGATGACCAGTACTAATAACTTATGTTTTGTATCTTTTTTAACATGAATATTATTTTATGGCTAATGAATTTGTTAGATAAATAATATTTGCTTGTATTTGCAGTAAAATGCGATTACTTTTCAGTTGAAGTTATTATGTTATTACGTTATGTAATAGAATTGAAACTCCCAAACATTTCTTATTAATGATAATTATTGTATTACTTGTCTTTCAAACCATGTATTTATTATTAATTGTTTTTGTTAATATGTAATTATAGTTACAGATAGACTCTGTAATTTAAAATGATTTTACAATGTCTCAAACAATTTGTTAAATAATAAACAGATTTTAACATTAGTTAAAAGTATTCGTTTTGATTGTGATTTATTATGAATTAAACAAATGTTGTTATAATTGATTGTTTCATCAATTAATGCAGGAAATGTCAAATGAATGGTAATAAATGGCATAATAATGATTAGAATAACACAAAATTGAGAATAAAAGAAGTGTTTTATTGACACATTTTGGGGACAAATAAATATATAACAAGAAATCAGGACTTTTTGAATCAATGATCAAACATTGTGTCAATTCTTCGCTGTCCTCCTAACGACGATTCCTTCTACACCTCCTCCTGTGGTCGCGACAATTCCGGCCCGATCTTCGACTACCACTTCGGCCACTCCGTCCTCTTCGTCCACGCCTTCGAGAGCCACTTCTTGAGCGACTTCTTCGACGACTTCTGCTTCTTCTGCCTCTGGATCGGTGATGACTCCTTGATCTACGCTTACGACGCGATCCTCGCCTACCTCTGCGGCCGCCCCTACGACTCGAGCCCTTTCGCGTTCGCTTTCTGCCTCTCGACCGACCGCTGGACTTTTCTTCGTCGTCGTCATCTTCGTCTTCGTCGTCGTCGTCTCTGCGATTCCTCCAGAAGTTGGACGCCTTGTTTGAACTCTTTTCGTGACCCCTTTTTTGATGCCTTTTGGAGATGTCTGAGGCCTTTGTGTTGGAGTCGTCAGCGCCCCATATGTTAGGAGTCTTTCGTCTCTCCGTTTGAGTCGAGGCATCAGAAGTCGTTTGAGTGGACGCGTCGGTCGTCGTCTGAGTGGTGGCGGCCTTCGTGTCGGTCTTCTTGGCGCCAGTAC